AAATATTGGGAAGTTTGAGTGAAATTCTTATTTCATTTCTAAAATTTGTAATAATATTTTGTATTTATCTATATCCAAAAGCAATGGAGGTAGGTAGTAAAGGTAAATAAATTTCATTAACTAAATAGAATTACTTTTTAGGACCAGTTAAACTTATCATGCAGTCATTGTTTCTTAAAGTCAGGAACATTTAAGAAAACATGAGAAACAAGACAAGTAATCGTGAATAAGATCGTGTAAGCTATAAAAATATAAATATTGACTAGATTTGTTTATTTATTATTGATCTATTTTAATATTAGACCTTGCCACTTCCGTTCCATTTCAAAAAATTGAGTTATGATTAAAAAATGCAATACTATAATTGAATAACACCCACTTTACAGTATTATTTAAATTCTACTCCACTGAGCAGGCCTTCTCAAGTAGAATTTTTAGCCAGTAGCTTAAATCTCTATGTATATTGCACGTGGACAGTTTGTAAACAAAATAATAATAGATATAAAAACAAGCATCATCAAACAGACATATCTAGGAGGAAATCGATTACAAGGAAATTAATATACACCCACCAAAATACGTCAGTCTCGATAATATCACTTGTTTATTTTGAATCCATTAAATACAAATATCTTTTATAATTTCATTGCTAAAAATTCTCGGAGGGTTTTGAGTAAATATTTTTGTCACGCGCTTGAGATATTAGGATATTTATAAAATTTCAACTCTGTTGCGTATTAATAACTTCGGGTTTTGAGTTTTTTTTCTTATTTAGAAGAATTGTTAAAATCAATCGGAATTTCGTTAGCCCAAGATAAGTTGTTTTTTGACTCTTGTCAACACATGCCTTGGTTAATTTTTAAGAGCGAAATGAAACTATCATTATTTTATGATGTTATTTTTTAATATAACGAGGTGGGTTTCGATGGCTATTGTCCATAATGTCATATCGACACTGATTAGAAGTCTATATTAAAATTTAAAAAAACGTTAAAATGTAACGATATAGGCTTGGTTTTAATAAATATTTGTAACACTAAAAGAACAAAGGATATTAAAAAATAAATAACTGTAATAACTAAAGCCCCATACGCACACTTCGCTACTTCACTTCGTTCCTTCCTCGCGTCCCTTCGTCCAAAAATCATATATTTACTATGGGAAAATGTCGATTTTATGCGACTGTGTGTTCCTTCCTCCTTCGTCAAAACGCTACTTCGTCCGTTTACTTCCTCGAAACGCTCCTTCCACGTACTGTCGGTTTTTGGAGGAAGTAGCAAAGGAATTATCACGAACACAAAAAAATATTAAAATATATAAATCAATCTTGGATTTCATTCGTAGTTGATTTCTTGATTTGGCAGTACGTCTGTACAGGGTGTCCCATTTTCGTGTGTTTTGCAGGGTTTCTCGTTTATGAGTCGAAATACAAAGATGCGGTTTTCACATTACGCTGTTACTTTTTTATGAAACTAAAGATGCTACATACAGATATGTCCTAGCTCTCTTACTTCCTAAAATACAGGGGAATCTGAAATTATTGCATTTTTCGATCCCCTTTGTATCATAACTTATCGAAAAGGTGAAAACGGTCTCCCGTACAGTTTTTCACGTAGAATGCAATGACGTAACTATTTCTTCGTTGGAATCTGTCTTTTTTTAAATTGACTAAAACTTATATGTTTTTTTAAATACGATATTTTGTATATTATTTTATTTTCCTTGTTACGAGCGTTCTAAAATACTTATTTTCATAAACGGGGTAAAAATGCATTATTTAACTTTATTACATAGTCGGCCGGTTTAAATTAGGTAATCAAAACAATCAACTAATTTATTCGACGTAAAATGTTGGTTATTGGTATGTTATTTAAAAGCAGCACAAGTTCAGTTTCCGTGTAGTTTATCAAAATATCACGATGCAAAGCAAAATTATCTGGTAAAATTAAGTTAAATAAAATAAGAGCCGTTTAGCAGTTTAGCAGTACCTAAATAAATAAATATAGAGTATATTATAATTTTCGAAAGCTCATAACAAGGCAAATAAAATAAAAAATAATATATAGAGTGACCTGTTTAAAAAAAAGAACATAAGTTTGAGTCATTTTTCGAAATAGACAGCTCCCAACGGAGAACCACTTTCGTCACTGCCATTCTACCTGAAAAACGAGACACAGGCGGTGGGTAAGTACTCAATAGGTAGAACAAAACAAAAAATCAGGGTATCCGGTATATACCTGTACATTTAGATGAACAGTCTAATTTTATAAAAGGTATTTCCAACGACCGCATAGTAAATACCCGATATAATACCAATAATATCAGGAATACGAGTATATCTACAATATTTCTTATATATATTGTAGATATTATATATTGGTATATTTCTATTCCCGGTATTATACCGGGTATTTACTATGCGGTCGTCGGAAACTCATTTTATTAATATTAGGATGTTCATCTAAATATACAGGTATATACATATATACCCAGATTTTATTTACCTACAAATTAGGTACTTACCCACCGCCCATCACTGACCCTTTTCACCTTTTCGATAAGTTATAAAATAATCGAAATACAAAGGTTATCGAAAAATGCAAAAATTTCTACTAATTAAAAAATAAAAAGTAAAAGAAAGAAATAAGAAATAACTTTGAACTAGTTCTTTTTAGTTCAAAGTTATTTCTTATGTAGCATATTTAGTAGAACATGTAGCATAATAAGTAGAACAATGATGTGAAAACAGCATCTTTATATCTCTACTCATAAACCAGAAACCCCATAAAACACACAAAAATGGGACATCCTGTACATCTAGCAATCGCCAGTCGATATAAAAATAATTCACACACAATAGTCTAAAAAATGGAAGAAAAAAAGAATATTGTCTTCATATTTGTGAAAAAATGTATGTCTATATTTATGTAATCGTAGCGACAAAAATAAAAAAATAGAAATAATGTGCATGATGCCTTTACAAAAATATCTGAAGAAATGGGGATTGACATCATTAACGTTTAATTAGTATGTCATATTTCATGGTTTCGATATAAATTACATAATAAACTTTACTCTATTGTTGACTCGCCTTGTACATTCATACTGATATACCTTGTACATGATACTGAAATATTCGGATTTATTAAAAAAAATATATTATTAAAATTCAATTTTTATTTTTGACATGACAAAGAATTGCAGTTTTATAAAATAAAAATTATGCGCCTTTCGGATTTTTTAAAATTTTATTGGTTACTAGATATTTCGTAGTAAACATGTAGCTGCTATATTAAAAATATTTTGTGGTGCGTTGTTGCATAACTGACTAATTTTCAAGCATCGAATGGACGAAGGAAGGAAGCGAAGGGACGAAGGAACGCTAGGAAGTAACGCGAGGAAGTAAGGCGAGGAAGGAGCGAAGTGTGAGTATGGGGCTTAAGTGAACAAACAAACAAAAAACAAATATTCTAATACGTTGTATTGCCTCCCCAGACTGCTATAACTGTCTGTAGACGTCGGTTCATAATTTTAATGAGGCTGCAAATATATTGTGTTATGTTTTCCCATACTCCTTCAAGGACCAAGCGAATATTCATAATTCGGCCATTCTCAACGAGATCAATGATTTTTGCACAATCTTCGACACTAAGAACCATATTCAATCATATACCACAATCATCACCAAAGCCACCTTGTCATTATGAAGAATAACATCAAAAGTAACGATAATTGACAAAATTGCAAAATGTTCAAAGAGTTCATTTTGCTCTTAAAAATTAACCAAGGGATGTGTTGACATGAGTCATAAAACAAAATATTCAGGACACAGGCCGAAAAATAATGTTTTAGGAAAATTTCCTCACGAAATTATTGCACAGGGTGTTTTAAAGACAGGGTAAAAAACAACTCTTCGTTTAACCCTGTATAATAAGTCAAATACTGAAGTTTATAATAAACTGAGTTTAAAAATTAAAGTTAATATATTTATATATAGTTTAAAAAAACCAATAAAATAGGGCTAAAAATAAAAAATATATAAGGTTTGTTCCAACTAGCATTTCGGGATCGTTTCGAAATCGTACTCGAATCGGTTTTCTTGCACTTTGTTAGCATGCGCGGACTTCGAATAGTTTCGTGACGGTGCAAAAAGTATCAACGTTGGAAGCTTTGTGGATTGTTTTTGGGACTGTCAAAAGTGTCAAGCGTGCGTGTGTCGATCGGTTTTTTGTTTTTGTTTAGAATTTCATAATATAACCCTTTTATTTTTGTTTGCAATTTGCAATAATCATAATTATTATTCTTGAAATGGAGAATCAGAATCCAGTAATTGCTGATAAGTGTTGTTTCAACTGTATACTCACTGACTCACTTACTTATCCTCTCTTTTATGATCCTGTTATGCGTACCTTCCTGTTATTTTATTGCAGTGGTAGAATCTTTGAACATTATTTTGTAAATAAAAAATTATTTAAAATTTCCGAACGATTTACTCCACACAAACTCACAAGCAAAGGTGTAACGCACACGTATTCGAATTCGTAAAAAATAACCAAGACACAAGCATCAGTTGGACGCTGGACCAGAATCAGCTGTTAAAAATCGATAATCCCTGCCAATATGCTTTAATGCGCAAGTCAACCCAAACAGTTCTCAACTTGGACCATGTACCGAAATTACCGTTCTGCAATCGTAACTAAACGATCCCAAGGTAGGTTGGTACGCAAATAGGATCGTCCGATAACCGTCAAATCTCGGTTGGAACACATTTGAATTACTGCGCACGGGCGTGATCGTTCGGTGACGGTTCTGCGGCGGGTTGGAACAAACCTATAACATTTTAAACTTGACCAAAAAATTTTTCGTTACATTTTTTTTTCTATCTGAGTGTATATTCAAATTACAAAAAATTAACACAAGTTGAATTATTTATAAAACTTGTTACTCTATGATTATTTGTGTTATTGAACTATTATTAACCTTATTTTCTTTTGTTTCAGAAAAATGTATCGTTACCATCAAACAGTCATCACAAGCACAACCAACAAAAACAAAGTACTGAAACTAAAATTCACGAAAATAAAAATATATATTCACGATACAATAAGAAATTTAACTGTCATCCACAAAAGGTATTAAAGGAAGACTTAGATTATTAGAGAATATAAGAAAGAAATGACTCAGAGTAATTAAAAAAAATCACATATCAACAAAGAACAAACTTGAACATGAGTGACGACACAGACTTACTAGAAGTGTTTAACTACTCAAACGAGTCATACGATTACTCTTGCCTGGCAACGCAAACTGAACAGATCAATTTCTTCCGATTCGTTACCAACGGAATCTTCCTGAACTTTATCGGATGTTTTGGAATTTTGGGCAACCTGATATCGATGATCATTCTATCCAGGCCGCAGATGAGGTGCAGCATCAACTATCTGCTGATCGGTCTTGCCAGAATTGACACGGTGCTGATTATAACGAGCGTGTTGCTGTTTGGTCTGCCTGGGATTTATCCATATAGCGGATCGCTGTTTAATTACTACTTTAAGTAAGTATCTTTGGTATTAATGTGCAAAATTTTTTATTACACTGAGAGACAAAAAAAGATATACAGGATGGTCTGAACTGTATTACGGAAACTTTGGCAGAATATTCTGCAGATAAAAATAAGTAAAATGTATGTCCTAAAATGCTTAGTTTCGGAGATACAGGGTGTAGAAGTTTCATTTTTATTTCGATTTTTTCCAAATAATTTCTGAAGTAACGTCAACATTTGGATGAAAATTGGTGTCTGGGAGTTTTTTTTGACGTGAGAAATTTGATTTTGATGTCAATATGACTCCTACTTGTAGAGGGCGCCACCTACATATTTTTAACTGGTTTTAAGGGTAATAACTTTTTGTCCGTACCTGTATAAAACTATCGAGTAAAAAAATATACATGTACGACGTTTTTTACGTAAAAAAGGTCTTTTGGTAAAAAGACTAATGGTTCTCGAGATATTTGGAATCGAAATTATCAATTCCTGTCATCAATGATATAAATTAAACATGTTGACTTAATAGTGATTAGAATGAAATCATAAATTTGAAATGTTTTTGTGCCAAAAGTTCCACAGAAACTGTTTTATCATAATTAATATTAAAAATTATTATAATATATAGTCCGTCTAGAAAGTATCCGGAAAAAAGAAAGCAAAATTACAATTATCGATATATTATTATATTTTTAGGACTTCAGTTAAAAAAATTATAATAAATTATTAATTTTATTTACTTATACAACCTCCATTTAATTCCAAAACATTTAATTAAACGTCCAGGTACACCACACCATAATGTTCAGTGGCGATAGTCCAGGCCTGTAAAACTGAGCGAATCAAATCTTGTTTATTTTGTGGAGCTGCTCGTTCCACTTCAGTCTTCATTAGTCCGCATATGTTTTCAATGGTATTAAGGTCTGGTGAAGCTGCTGGCTATGAAATTGTTGCCAAATGGTTTTCTTACATCGAAGCTTGAGTATAGGCAGACGTATGGCATCTTGCATTATCCTGCTGAAAACGCCACCCCTCTGGATATAAAACATGAACCGTTTCAAGAAGAAAACCATTTAAAATATCACAATATTTTGCACTATTAACAGTTCCATCAACTATACACAGAGGTTAAGTTAGCCTCCCCAAACCATTATTAGTTAGTGGGAGATTTTGAAACTTGAAGGTAACATTTTCTTTTGATCGGATTTTTAGGTGGTTTGGTTTGGTTTGGACTTCAGTTAAAAAAATTATAACAAATTATTAATTTTATTTACTTATACAACCTCCATTTAATTCCAAAACACTTAATTAAACGTCCAGGTACACCCGAAACTAGGACCACACCATAATGTTCAGTGGCGATAGTCCAGGCCTGTAAAACTGAGCGAATCAAATCTTGTTTATTTTGTGGAGCTACTCGTTCCACTTCAATCTTCATTAGTCCACATATGTTTTCAATGGGATTAAGGTCTGGTGAAGCTGCTGGCTATGAAATTGTTGCCAAATGGTTTTCTTACATCGAAGCTTGAGTATAGGCAGACGTATGGCATCTTACATTATCCTGCTGAAAACGCCACCCCTCTGGATATAAAACATGAACCGTTTCAAGAAGAAAACCATTTAAAATATCACAATATTTTGCACTATTAACAGTTCCATCAACTATATACAGAGGTTAAGTTAGCCTCCCCAAACCATTATTAGTTAGTGGGAGATTTTGAAACTTGAAGGTAACATTTTCTTTTGATCGGATTTTTAGGTGGTTTGGTTTGGTTTGGACTTCAGTTAAAAAAATTATAACAAATTATTAATTTTATTTACTTATACAACCTCCATTTAATTCCAAAGCACTTAATTAAACGTCCAGGTACACCCGAAACTAGGACCACACCATAATGTTCAGTGGCGATAGTCCAGGCCTGTAAAACTGAGCGAATCAAATCTTGTTTATTTTGTGGAGCTGCTCGTTCCACTTCAATCTCCATTAGTCCGCATATGTTTTCAATGGGATTAAGGTCTGGTGAAGCTGCTGGCTATGAAATTGTTGCCAAATGGTTTTCTTACATCGAAGCTTGAGTATAGGCAGACGTATGGCATCTTGCATTATCCTGCTGAAAACGCCACCCCTCTGGATATAAAACATGAACCGTTTCAAGAAGAAAACCATTTAAAATATCACAATATTTTGCACTATTAACAGTTCCATCAACTATACACAGAGGTTAAGTTAGCCTCCCCAAACCATTATTAGTTAGTGGGAGATTTTGAAACTTGAATGGTAACATTTTCTTTTGATCGGACTTTTAGGTGGTTTCCACCAAGCTGGAAACAACTTTCGTCAGAAATAAAAACGTTATTAAAATTATCTTCTTGAAAACGTTGACAAAAATCCATTCTTCGCTGCCTTTGTAGAGGTGTTATTGCAGGGATTTTTTTTTGGCTTCCTTGATATGTATCCTTGTCTTTTCAGTGACATGCGAACGGTTTCTGGACACACTTTTAATTTTCGCTCTGTCAGTCAATCTGTTAGCCAATTTGCGAAACCCTAGGCGCGGATTCTGTCGTCCTAATGCCACTAAAGCGTTTAAATTGTTTTCGCGAATCTTACGCGGTCTTCCTGAAACTGGTCCATGCTTCATATCGGTGCCATTTTTTATCCTCTTTATTGTCTCATACACTGCACTTTTTCCGAGTCCAGTCAATTGCACTAATTTTTTAACGTTTCGAACACCTTTTCTATACAAATATTCCACCATTTCTCTTTTTTTTTACTTCCGACTTTTTTATTTCTCAAAGCCAGTTTACAATCAACAATATTTGACAGATAGTGTTGCCATGCGATTTTGGGTCATAGCCTACTATCGGCACAACCTACGTGATGGACTACTGTTGTCTTAGAGTGTTACAGAGAAAAACTACATTAAAATTAGGAAAAATATAAAATTCCGGATACTTTCTAGACGAACTCTTGTTTTTTTTATCTGAAAAAATAAAAGTTATAGGGGTGAGCCACTTTTGAGACGCACCCGGTATAGTTTTTGGCATATGCTAAATATTTAAAAAAGCAGTTATCAGTCAATTATTAATGAATAAATAGATTCTTTGTAATTATATTTTATAGATGTTTACTAGAAGTATGCTCTGAAAGGTTTTGAAAACATCCCATTCATTATGGATATGTGGGTGTGATATCAATCACTTTATTAGAGCTTGATTTGAATTTACGATCATTTATTTATAGTTATTGGAATGGATTTTATATGAATGGCAAAAAGTAGCATTGAGAATGAAACGTAAACAAAGTAATAGAACAATTACAATAGTTTTTTACGTCTCACAAATAGGGTTTTTAGGTAAAAAAAAGTTTTTTTGCGTGTATCAAACAGTTTTTACGTGTAATTAATAGTTTTTTACGTGTAACAAGTGGTTTTGTACGTGTAGCAAATTGTTTTTTACTCGTAAAAAATAGTCTTTTGTGCATGTGCATCAAATAGTTTTTTACGTGTAACAAATAGTGTTATACGCATAAAATAAATCACGTCGGTTTGGCGTGTTGTCTCGCTAACTCGTGTGTCACCGCCTTGAATTTTTACTTCCAGCACGGATAAAATAAAGACTAAGTTGTTTAAAATGTCACTTAATATTACCCTATTGCAGTGTCCGATAATAGCTAATATTAATGTTTTTTTAAGAGGTTTTTTGAAAAAGCGAGAAGTTTTCAACACTTCTAAAGCACAGTCTTGTTTGCAGTAAAATCATCTAATGGGATCTTCTAAAGATCTAAACCGTTTACTTGAGAAACTTACGCTTCATACAGTTTTCAAGTATACTATCTAGTGATGGGTTGTTATTTAACTATCTGTTATTTTATAACAATTATTTAGAAATAACATAACGCAACCGTTACTGCTTTTAAAAAATAACAGATATAAAATAACGACACGCAGAGATCGAGTGTTCGTGAAACGAAGTCGGCGCTCTGCACCGCCACGAAATTCGATGCTGCTCGAAGCAATTCAAAAAACAACTAGTAGGATGGAAAACCTATTATTTCGACAACCATCGATACAGGCGGCGAGATACAACGGACAACGGAGTGGGGTATGCGCTACGGCGCGGCGCGTCGTGTTGGGCTGACAACAGCTTAAAAATAATAGGATATAAAAGAAGCAGCTTTTTTGAAACAGTTGCGGGCATAACGCCTGGCTGTCGAGATAACAGGAGTGGGAAAGGAGCGCTGCTGCATCGGTCGATTGTCGATGGAGGCTCGCAACGGGTTGGAGAATAACGCATCAGTTGTTTTAGCTATGTTGTTTTTTTACCTGTTACGAGCATAACAGAACGGCGTTCGAGATAATCGGAGGTTTGAAACAGGTTGGAGAATAACGCATCAGTTGTTTTAGATACATATTGTTTTTCAACCTGTTACGAGCATAACGGGCGGAGGTCGAGATATTATGGCGCTGTATGTTTCAATACTTTGTTATTAAGTTTCAATATTTAAGTATTTATTTATTCTGAAAAATTTTCAGAATAATATTTTAAGATTTTTTAAAAATGTATACAGGGTGTTTTGAAAAATCTGGTCATTGATTAATCACGATCCTGCTTAAAGCCCTTGACGTAAAAAGCTGATTTTTGGAAAACGGATTGACTTTAGGGTGTAGAGGTGCGATAAGAAGGGATTTTTCGAAACTCAAATTCTAAGGGGGTGAAACCACCCTCAAATATTAGAATATTTTTTATTTAAAAACTGGTGAGTTTTTCGAAAAAACTCTTAAACACGTATATTTTATTTTGTTGTTTTACATATTTTGAGATTTTTACAAAATATATACAGGGTGTTTCATAAAATATGACCACTGAGTAATCACTATTCTGCTTAAACTGCTTGACGTTTAAAGCTGATTTTTGGTAAACGGATTGACTGTGGGGTGTAGAGGTGCGATAAGGAGGGGTTTCTCGAATCTCAAATTCCAAGAGGGTGAAAACGCCCCTCAAATATTACAATATTTATTATTTAAAAAACGGTTAGTCTTTCGGGAAAACGATTGGACACGCATAATTTATTTTGTTTTTTTACATATTTTGAAATTTTTTAAAAAATAATACAGGGTGTTCCAAAAAGTTGAGTAATTGATTAACCACGATTCTGCTTAAACTGCTCGACGTTTAAAGCATATTTTTGGCAAATGTGAGAAAATTTTATCCAGTTTGTATGTTAATGGAAATTCTTGCTTTGCTTTATCATCACCATTACAAATTAATAATTCGATGCGAACGAAGTCGCGGGTACAACTTAACAAGTATAGCTAGAGACGTGAGAAATATAAAATAAGAGACGCCCCCCGATGCGCAGTGGACATCCCACAAATTTGCTTCAATCAGATTTTTCGTAGCGTAACTGCATCTCTCTTCCGCCGAATGCGTTCTCTCTCTATCGTGTGCGCGACCGGTGCTATCCCCAAGTCTCTTCCTATATTTGTCAAACTGTACATGCTAGTTTAAGTGTAAAATTAATTCGAACTCTAGTGTGTAGTTGGTTTACTTATGAAGAATATACTACACATTTTCTTATATTGCTATTTTTTGACCGCAAATGGTAAAATCATAACGAAGAGCTTCTCGCCCGTCGAGTGAGATGCACCCTGTACACTGCTACGCAATTCAGAATCTACGCGGATCGAGGGGTAGGGCGTAGGTAGATCGGAATTTATAGATATAGACGAGTGGCGGCATTTTGGCTTTTTTATATCGCAATTTGTAAACAGCGCTTATTTGTAAACAACCCCCGTTTTTAGAGAGGTATTTTAGATAACAATCGATATTTAGAAATGTTATGACACCCTGGAAATACTACCACCGAGCACGTCATTGTTGCAACTGCGTTAATACGCCTGGCGGTGACCGCCTCATACTCTTTCAGATATTTAGCAATAAAATAAAGAAACCTGTTATTTTTAAGCTGTTATTTTAAGCTGTTTTTTATAAATAACTATAACAGTTTCAACTGTTATCTAAAAATAACAGTTTTGCCCATCACTAATACTATCTTATATCGATTTCGTAAAATAAGTTGGATATTTTAGGGCTTTACCATCAAGAAGTTACGTAGTTCTGAAATTCCATGTGGTTTATCTCTAGTTAGTATGGAAATATTAACCCTTATTTGTATTTGCATAGTTTAGAAATTTTAGCATCATTTCGTGCCTTAATACATTGAACTTTCTTTTATTTGATGGTTAAATATACCGGGTCTTTTTCACAAATGGCTGTACCGGGTGCGTCTAAAAAGTGGCTCACCCCTATAATTCCTAATATTCTTTCAGATAAAAAAAACGAGATTTGTTATTGTTAGATTTGTTTATTCAATTGTTTTCGGTCACTTCCTGTTTCACCGGAAATAACTACAACTTTTGATTTTTAAATGACACCCTCGGTATTTTTTTTTTACTTTATTTGATAGAAAATGGCACTTCGAATAGAATGCCATATAATATGTCAACTTTTGACATATTCGCATATGGTTTATTTGAAATTGTAACATGCGATTCACAACGAGAAATTGACTCGAAATATCAAGTGTGTGGTACCAAATTATTCGTAAAAAATGCTTTTTTCAAATATGCTAATGGGCCACCCTTGTTACATTTGAAAAAATGTAGATAGGTACGATTAGAAATACGATTTGGACATCTTTTAACCGGCTAGGACAAGACACGAAAAACATTCAACCATCAAATCTATTTTTCCAAAGCTCCTTGATTAAAAATTAGTGTTTTTAACACAAACGGCACAAAATGGCACTCTAGATTGAAATTTAAAATATTTTTTTTAACATAAATGTCAAAATTTATCATATGACATGTCATTCTACTGAGAGTGTCATTTTCTATCGAATAAATTAGAGATATACCGAGTATGCCATTTAAAAATCAAAAGTTGTAGTTATTTCCGGTGAAACAGGAAATGATCAAAAGCAATTGAATACGTCAATCAATCCTAATTTATGTCATATTCTAACATACCAAATCTCGTCTCTTTTTATCTGAAAAAATGAAAATGTTATAGGGGTGAGCCACTTTTGAGACGCACAAATAACTTTTACCCTCAAAATTTTATTTGAATCGCTATTAGCACTTGGAAGAAAATTATAATAAATGGAAAAAAATTAGTTAATAATAGAATTAAAAGTTAGTTAATTAATAGACTTTAATACCATCTATTAAGAAACAAAAGAGAATCGGACCTAGATTGATATGAAAAATAAATATTAATTAATTATTTTTATGCGAGGAATCTCCTCACATGCTTTTGAAACACCCTGTATAAATAAATAAAGTGGAACTACAGTTCATACCAAATAAACTTTTAGTCACGTGATTAATATTGACCGACACAGTGCAGCGTGGTTCAAAAGAGGTTCTAAAAAGAACAATGTTCGACTGCAAGGTCTGCTAATAAAAAAAAATCAGCTTAAAGTATCACAACACTATTTATTAAAATCAAAAACTCGTAATACAAAACTAAAGTGTCAAAATGAATGACAATGTCAGGAAATAAATAAACAAATAAATGCGACAACTTGACATATTTTACAGCAGAGCTACCACCTGAATCCCTAGCGCGAAATTTAAATTCCAGTTAGTCAGCACGGCTCCGAATATATCCACGATTGGTAACAAGATCGATTACGTATCTGTATTAGCTGATCACTTTTTATTAGTCAGTATATCTTATCTTTTATCGCTTCAAAACTAAGTATATTTTTCTGTCTTTTCCAGAGTGTATCCGCACATAGCTCCAGTAGTCTACCCCTTAGCCACAGTAATGCAAACTGCATCAGTATACTTAACCATGACAGTATCCCTAGAACGCTACGTGGCAGTATGTCATCCCTTAAGGGCCAGATCCCTCTGCACTTACGGCAGAGCCCGCATCTACGTCATCGGGATTGTTGTCTTCTCCACCATATACAACATCCCCAGACTGTGGGAGGGCAAAATTAAGGCGGAATGGTCGGAGGAGTACAATACCACGGTTTACTGTCCCATGCAGTCGAATTTTAGAGATAACAAGTACTACCAGACGGTGTATATTCACTGGTTGTACTTGATCTGCATGTATTTGGTGCCGTTTCTGTCTTTGGCGATACTGAATGGTGCCATTTATAGACAGGTGAGTTGAAATCATACTTATTTTAATTAGATAAAAAAAGGAGTTTGATATAAACTTGTTCAGTTAGTTTGTTTCAATTTACCACGGTAAAAAATACACCTAAAGACTGTTCAGCCATCGTACACCGTTACGTCATCATTATTTGTCAAATATGAGTTTTAGGGTATGTCTGACATATTGTTTAGAGAATTAAGTGCGTTCCTATATTAATAATGGATCGAGATAAGTAAATTACCAACAGATATTCAGAGTGAGGCGACAAACGCCATATCCAAACTACTTCCATTGAAATCCCGAATAACTTATGAAAAGGAATACAAAAATTTTCAAAAATGGAAGCAATTAAAAACGTGCGAGGAGAAATAAAGTTTTTAACCTATCCTCGATGTTAAAGTATCATTTAATTACTCTTGCGGTTAAAGTACTATTTTATCTACTAATTATCTACTATTTTTGATAGATTAAGGTTTAATAACCAATAATAATTTTATAGTTTGATAATTCAAAACGATTTGTACGTGAAGTATAACCAAACATACAATAAATAAAGAACATACAATTCAAAGAACAGAAAACGTAGCGAAGTGAGAACGAAGAACAAAAGTATAAAACAAATTGGGGCAAAACTATCATAAATCAGTTGTTTGTTTTCAATAATAAAATAAATAGACTGTCCAAATTTGAAAAATTATCCTTTACTTACTTGTTTCAATTTTACCAGGGGAGATGAATGCACAAGGTATTTTTTCGCAAAAATTAAAATTAAAATACAGTGTCCGGCAATAGTTCGTCGGACATCTGTAGCTCCTAGAATAAAAAACTTGGAAATTTTGTTTAAGTGTAAACCTAAAGTATGTACTGGGATGTATTTCAGGAAAAATAATTTAATTTCTATAGGGTGGCTCAAAAAAGTGTGAGTGGATCGGGACGATTTTTTTTACACTTTACATAATCCTAAGATATCTGTAAATATATTTCGATAGTTTCAGAGATATTAAAAAATAAATAAAAAATATATTTTTCAACCGTTCCTAAAATATTATTAAAAATACAAGAACCGGTCCTGAAATCAAAACTATTGTTACGTTTTTCGTCGGTTCCGTGTGGATAGAAAGTCACAATTTATTTAAACACAATTTATTTAACACTAATTAACAAAAACAATAACGATAAAAGACTTAAAGAACTATTTACAAACGATTTACAACTATTTATCTAGAAAAAAATTATTTTGAATTAAGCGCGTCAACTGTACTCGTCTATTTATATCTGTCCTCTTTAGGCCCCAGCCGCCGGCTTTTATACCCACAGCTAAAGATGTTTCGAATAGTCCACAGATCGTTAGGTGCATAGAGAAGGTTTCGAATGTTCTCGTATGTACTACTCCATTCCAGTGGAACTCGTTTTTTTCTCGAACGTTCGAATGAATCATTACGGTGTCTATATATTCTTTAATGCGATGTTAAGGTCATCTGAGGGCGGGACTTATAGTTAGGTTAGGTCGAGACCACACGGGTCCGCAACATTATATTAGGTATTTACTTTAAATGGTTTTTACTTACTTTGCTATAAATATGGTAATTGTAAATCATACAAGATGTTCAAAATTCTACGCCAAACTTTTTTCTAAAATATAAAATGATATTTCTTCGTTTTTTTTAATGGGACACCCTGTATATTTAGCATAACATTTTGACAGACTCGTTTAAAACTTCTCTCCCAAAGACCAATCGAAGAAAATTGTAAGAAGGTTAAAGAATATAAAAGCCAGAATTCAGTTTTGTTGACGTTGCATAAAAAGTTTTAACTTTTACTAGTGCCCATTCAAGAAGAATGGAGAACTTTGGTTAACATTTCCATATTTATTGCACTTGCAATAAAGGTAAGAAACTATTCCCTTTATTGAACATAAGGCGTTATTGCTAAAATAAAGTTTTTACGAAGAACTCTGTTATACTGCTTCAGAAAAAAGGTATTCGAAACATCGATATTCTGACGTCACGTAAAAGGAAGTGATCGAAAAAAATAGAAGGTGATACATTAATCTGCAGATTTAAGTAAAGTTTGTTGTAAATACGTAAAAAATGTTTAATAATGTTTTTAAAAAAGAAGTTAAAAAAACAATATGTTATCACTTATTTAAAGACTTCTCTATTTGGAAGTAAATAAAACCTTTAGAAACTTTAACAACTTTAATTCAGAAAAAGAGTTTCAATTCTAAAAAATTAAATAATTTCATACTCACATTTTTTAGATAATTGTTAAAAACAGACAGCTTAAAATTTTGAGATATTTTAAAGTTTTATATATTGTGTTTTCTAGTGGATTTTGATGATCTTTTAAGAAATTTGTACCTAAATTATTTGACTTCTTAGTATCTCTTTCTAAATTAAAAATGAAAGTTTCCATCTGTCAATTATACGAGGGAACACAAAATGTTGTTATTGTGATGAATGTTTGAAACGCCCTGTGGCATATACTAAGGGCTGGCAAAGGTTAGTCTTGGGTCGAGATTTCCGTATGTAAGAAGAGCACAATGCGTTTATAATGTACCGAACAAAGAGAGAACAGTAAACACGTTGCCAAACATATGAAATAAACCGAGAAACTGTGCACATCGCTAAGAGACGTGGAAGGGGATATAGCAGATTTGTTGCAGTTGACCGGTCAACCCAATCAATACCTCTGTCGGTACTTAAAGCTCTAGGGAAAGGTGTACGTCATGCGTTCAGCTTCACGATAAGTGCAAGCTAGAAACACTTGCATTTTTGGTAAAAATAAGTGGAATTGAGTGGGTGTTCGATAGTGGTCGCGCTATTAGAACTCTGAATTCAAAAATCGATATCTCGAAATCTATTAGAAATAATAGATTGTAGTTTTTTCAAGAACTTTGTTAATATTTGTGCTGTATTTTCTTTGTAGACAGTATGAGAAAATCTTTATCAATAAAAAATTACACGATTGCTGAAAATTGCTATGCTCTAAAAGTAAATGGATGGATTGTTTACAATTTTTGAATAGAAAAAACAACCTTATCGAATTTTTCTTATGTAAACATATTGTAAAATATCCGATCTTGAAAATAAAAAAAAGTTTCAATATCTAAAGTGGTTCTTGAGTTATGGCCTGTTATGTGTTAAAAAGTTGAGTTTTTAAATTATCGCGATTACTGACGTTCTCGTTATAAAAAAAATGACACCCTAACGATATCCTTATAATTCCATTTCAGATGCTCAGAGACATGTCTAATGATTTTATCTAGTTATCTCTTGAAAAAAAGTATTTTAAAAATAAGCGGTTTGCGATTGTGATTTTACTTTACTTGATAGGGAAAGGCGTATCGGCAACGCCGCAACAGCATACCGTCGCGCGTCGCGTCGGTCGGTCGCATTTCTCTCACTCCGACTTAATAAGATTCCTATGCGATTTACTTCCACACATGTAAATGCCGACCCAAAAGTAACAGTTGCCAGCACGGTATTAAAAAAGCAAGGAATTTGAAGATAATTTTATCATTTCGGTGCATGTTTTCTCGATAGTTTGTTTTTTGGTATATTTCAATAGATTTTTTTTTAATATTCGCTTTTGAAGAAGACACTAATATTTTTCATGCTGGTGAGTGTATAACTAAATACTACATTTTTGACAACCTTGCTTTTGAACAATTAGTAGCATTTCTCTTATTTATCACGTGGATCAATATTATCAAGCAACAACTACGTCAAGTTCTGTGTTATAAATTACATCGGATCAGAAGACCAAGCAAATACACTCGCGTAAAATATTAACAAACAGCCATTTGTTATCTACATACTCCAGTCCAAATAACTTTCTGTGATAAATGGGAATGAAAACGACACAAGAAGGGAAGAAACAAGAAAACTAATGATATATTTCAATTGCATTTGGAAAACATTAATAATTTACTTTAGGAAGCAAAATGGAATCAAAGCCGAAGCGTTTTATTATTCTTGGAAGAGAGGGGTAATCATCTTTATACAGGGTCAGTCTTAAATAAGTGCAAATATTTATAGGGGTAGTATATTTCAACACTTGAAACACACAAACATTATAAGGTTTTTTTCGCAAAAAAATTGAGCATTTGGAATTTTTTGAAAAATAATTTGGATTTTTAGTTAAAAAAAACATAATTTCTTGATAATATGGCAACATAGGTAATAGATTAAATTTACAAGAAAGAAAATCCACAAAAGATCCAGTAGTTCTCAAAATTTAAGCAAATCATTTTTTTTGGGGAAATGTTTAAAGTAAAATAACTCCGTTATTTTGGACTTACTTGAAAAATGGTAAAGAGAAAATATCTTTCTTTTACCGAGATCTACCAGGTCCTGAAAATATTTGCACTTATTTAAGACTTACCTTGTATAAAATAATAATAATAGCTCCTGTATATAGCGTTTAACGCCTTGGGAGTAGCAAGGTACAGCTTGCCATGATAGAGCCGTTCGGTATACAAGCAAGGTAATGTGGCTAGCACCACGCTTCAACCGCCTATTATTACCTCAGGATTGTGAATCCCAAGTACTCATTTAAGGCTGAGTCGACCTAGGTACCCAAACTATTTTTATTTTTAATAAAAATAGTCGGCTAATGAAATGGCAGGTGGGGGATTCGAACCCACTACCTTCAGATTGGTAGACGAGAGCCTGTACCTCTACGCCACCCTGTATAAAATTATTATATTAAATGTGACAACCAAATACACATTTTTTATACCGAGACACAAAAAGTCATTTTTACTGGCAATAGAACATGCTATTTTCAACCCTTAGAAATAATTGTAATAATCTTTACCATGGAGGAAAATCACAAATAAAAACGGTCAACGGTCTCTCAGAGGAAATTTCTATCACTAAAGGGCTCCGACAGGGTTGCTGTATATCCCCAACACTATTTAAAATTTATATTGCCAAGGCCTTACATCTATGGAAAAGAAAATGTAACGGAATGGGTATAGAACTAAATGACATATGCCTATA